AGACAACATAGACAACATAGACAACATAGACAACATAGACAACATAGACAACATAGACAACATAGACAACATAGACAACATAGACAACATAGACAACATAGACGGTCCACGGTACACGGTATACGGTCCACAGTACACAGTATACAGTACATTATCCACAGTACAATGTACACTGTACACTGCACACTCTACTACATAGTACATAGAATATTTTATTTTGTACTATGTACTGTGTACACTGCACAGTATACTAATGTACAGTGTACACTTTACACAGTACACAGGACAAAATGTACGGCACTACATAGTAAACAGTACAAAATATACTGCATAGTGCACACAGTACATTATAGTACAAAGTACACCCTAATATGTACCTAAAGCTGTGTATTTTAGGTCCCCTAATATGTACCTAAAGATAGTAGACAAGTTCAATGAATGGTTTGTCTCCGGGTTTGTTACTGCTAGCAAGCAAAGATTCATCATTCTCCACGATGTTAAGGTATTTATTGTGAAATTCCAAGCACTAAGAACGCAGATTCATTTGAAGCACCGGACAGACTTTTGAGCAGAACTAGAGTAAAGTGTGCAGTATGCATGAATACACATGGTACACACTATAGAAGACAGAACGGAACATTACACCAAATGAATATCCTTCTAGTGAGATTATTGTGCTAGGGATGACTTTTTAAATTGCATACTGGGATTTGTTAAATTCATACTTGTATACTCTGTAGGCGGTTTGGGTCTCTTAAAGGGAGTGTTCGCGAAAAATGAAAGGGGGTATAGGCTTAATGCGATAAAAAGCGCTTTTGATCGCTACTAATCATACTTCTATCTGTTGCGTGTATAAGGAGAAACTTGTTAAATACGTCTCGTACCGAATAACTTGGCGTCCATACAAATTCAGAAAATTGCAACATACGACTTAGACCGTAATTTCAAACAAATCATTCATTGAATAAACATGTAAAGTATTTAACTATTTTAATTTCCCTGTAGAATGAGGACGGAATAAAAAACTTCTTCACTGAAATGTACGAGACATATATAAAGCAGGTAACAATGGATTCATTACTGAAAACTTTAGAATGATGGATATCATGATTAATGCTTAAACTCCCGGTTTTACTAAACCCGAGACTACTTTAATACGCATTCGATATCCAAGAAAGAAGTATAAAATTCAACCAATCAGTGTATCATGTTAAGATGTACTCTTAAACTTTTGAAAAACCGGGTTTTTTTCTGGTGTTGATTGTGTCATATCAATTGAACTTAACATCGATTAAATAAATGTAAGTTTTGGATTAATGTTTGTTAAGACTCGTTTAAAATTATGATAGTCCTAAAATGTGACAAAATATATTTTTTAATAAGTTTATATTAACGTGATTAAATTCATATTTTCTCAAATGCTCTAAAAGCCGGATTTTGAAGATATTAGTTCAATCGATATAGCCTTGTTTCTGTAATTGATATCAAAAGTATCTTTTATACAGTAGGTACATCCAAAAAAAGGATTAAGAAGAAAATCAAAAGTGTGTACATTGGATAATCAGATTAAGCGATCAGGATTAAGGATATCTCATTCTAAAGTTTTCAGTTCAGAGTACCTAGAAATGTCGTCGTCGACATCATTTTTATATAAAGCTATTTTTTGAGCGGTAAGAATTGTGGCAAAGATTTATTTCTTCAAGGGTCTTTAAACGTAATTAAAGTGGACCTATATTTATAAATGTGCAATGGGTATGTCTGATTTACGCCGGTATCCTCTAGATATGCTTATATATATATATATATACCCTCTTCAAAGATCAGGGAGTCAACGAGGGATCATAGACGCAAACCGCCCCGCCTATCTAGCCTGACAGAGATTTACTAAACAGTAAGCTGCGTTTAGCTGTTTATTTCTAGTTAATCAATCAATCAAGGTGTAGATTTAGGAGTTATTGAATATTTCTACAGTGTGTCCAGTGGTTACTGGTTACAGGGATGGAGCGTGGCTAGAACTTTGTCTAAGTAATTATGGAAATAGAAATATTTTCGTCCTTTAAGCCCATTGTGCTGTTTTACATGAACGTTGCGGCGCGTATAAACTTGTCAGACGCCCTGGTACGCTTCAACCCTTCATAAATATCTACCTGATATGTAATATGTGACGTCTATTTTTAAATTTCAATTTTTATTTTCCAGGTGATGAACCCATTCTACGAAGTGAACAGTCCCATTACTTCCCCGGCATTTGAGAAGAAGGCTCTCTTCTATGGACGCAAATTCCTCGTCAATTAGAAAACATCAACACAAGGATGCTGTGGAGGTAAAACAAATTACGACAGGGGTGTATACTATACTAGCTGAAGTGCCCGGCATTGTCTTTGGAATTTTAAAAAGAGTTAAGAAAAGAAAAAAAAATGAATTTATAGAGGAAAATCGTAGTTTTAAGCCTATGTTACCTCCCGAGTACACGTAGGTTTCCTCTAAAACATAGCTAACATATTTATATGAGTGAAGAGCTTTATTATATATATAGAGAGGGGGGTAGGATGATTTGTAAAGATTGAGAATGTGGGGGGGGGGGGAATTTTACAACAAAATATATGAAAGTATTAATTGAACGTACTGATGCAGGCCCGGAAAAGAGGGTAGGAGTACAGGAGCAGGACCCCCTGAGCATAGTCCTGCAGCTACACCTAGCCGAGCTGTTTACGGATTCTTCCTCTTCCTGTTCTCTAACTCCTGCCTCCTGTTCTACCTGGTCTGGGCTGTTCTCCCTGATCCTGTTCTTGAACAGCTAGGACTAGACTTTTTTCCACAGAAGTATTGGGCTGTAGCAGGACCGCTGTTCCTTTCCGTCCTTTTCTTCATATTCGTAGTCCTCGTTTACCCACTACTAGGACTAGTAGCAGCAGGACCAGATACTATAGAGGACAAACATTCAGTTTATGAGGACGGTTTGAGGTCGGACAGTGTTGAAGGCTGTATCCCACCACTTTTTGATATTCCCTACGGACAATGGAGTAAACGGAATAAAGATTAGTGCCCGGATTTTATCCTCAGTTACTAGTGATTTCTTTTTTCTTTTCTCAAAGTTGAATGGACAACACAAAATAGTTTGGTGAAAAAAGTGAAATTCATATTTTTGTTAATTGGGTAAATGCAGTGCTTATGATCCATTACAGTTTGACACAGATCCAAATCCGGATTCGGATCCAGGTCATGAACATTTCTTTAAGATTTACAGATTTTTTAACAGAATAAGAATTTTCAAATTATTTTTCTTCTTTTTTATACTAAAACTAGAACTATTTAAAAATGAGGACATTTTGGATATTCTTTTTTTCAGCAGTTCAGATTTAGGATTTGGTTGATTTTTTGTCCCTTGGATCCTGATCCGCGGATCCGCATATTTTTGCGGATCCAGGAAGCCAAAATGTTGCGGATCCAATGGATCCGGATTCTAAGCACTGGGTATATTTGATTTGATTATTGCCCAATGCCCATGTTTAATAAAATTCCTCTGCTGCCAAACATTTAAAATTATTTTGTAGCATGAAACTAAAATTAACTTATATTATTTTAATTTGATTTTTTTATTCAAAGTTTTAATTATTTTTAACTTTATACGTATCTGCCTGAACTTAAATCCATAACTTTTTTTTCTTTATTTAAAGGAAGTGTCATCGCAATTTTTAAATAATCCTTTAATTATATACGATTAAACAATAGTAATAACTTTGAAAATGTGATTATTAATGTTTCCTTTCTGAATTTGATTAAAATTTTGCCACTTTTTTGTCTTTGCTTCTAAAAAAACCAGCCAGTTTACCGGAGTTATGGTACTTTTTTTCTTTGTTAATTGTATTTCTTTCAAAAATGATAACCCCCATTTCCTCAAAGCTAAGTTTTAATATTTTATTTTGAAAATTCATGATTTTTTGGAGAAAATTAAATTACCGAAAATACTTCTGCAATAGTTTTTGATTTTTTAATCGTATCTGTGATATTTGATTTTATGTCTTAATTATATTATTAAAAGTACTTTTTAGGACTTCATATTTTTATTGTAAAATTAAATCTTGACTGATCAGCAGAGGCGTACACAGGGAGGGTGTAGGGCTAAGGACTTGGCCTCTAGATCAGTAAAATCTATTGTTCTCAAGGGGTTTTCAGACCCCAACGGACGGAAGCCAAGCCCCCCATGCAAATAAAAAAAGTTAAGCTCCCCCTTTACAAATTCCTGTGCACGCACCTGCTGATCAGGGTTATTTTAACTTACTGAAATAATAAATCTTTAAACTTTATATATCGGGAAAAATATATTTTGTTCAGTCCAAAATAGATTTTTCGCCATTTTGTTAGGATTTATATTTTTAATGAATATTAATTACAGCTCCAACTGATATATTAATTTATTGAAAAGTTCATAGTTCAGTTTGTATTAAAATTGAAAATAGTTTCAGATTTTCCCAGAATGGAATCCGTTCTAGAAGTTCAGAAAAATGTCAAGGAAAATTCTGAGGAAATTTCAGATTTTCTCAAGGTAAAAGCGAGTCAGAAATTAGTCAATATCAGTACGCTTGACGCAATTGAGAGCATTGTAGATTTTTTAAGCTTTTAGCGTCTTCTCAATTTAATTTTCAATTTCGGAACAATAGAAGTGCATAACTATGTTAATCTCTAAATTTTAGCTTGAAATAAAAGGAAGTTCAAGAAAATCACCCACTCCCTTAAAAGTTTTTATTGTTGGAAAATAATCATTAAAAGGTATAAAGCTTAAATGTTGATTTTGGAAGTCACATTCTTTTAAAAATGATTAATGATTGTAATTGATCTGTCTAATATCCCTTTAATGTGCCCCCCCCCCCATTCTCTTATCTATTATAGAGTGGCATTTCCAGTTTATAAAAGCCCGTTACCCAACTTGTGTCTGATCCAGTGCTTAGGATCCATTTAATTTTGATGCGGATCCGGATCCAGATCATTTCTTTAAGATTTACTGAATTTTTTTAACTAAAAATAATTTTCAAACTTTTGTTTTATTTTTTCGCTTATTTTTATCCTAAAACTTGATGAACCATTCAGAAATGAGGAAATTTTTATGATCTCACTTTTTTCAAAAGTTCAGCTTTGGGTTTTAGGAGTAAAAAATTTTTTTTTGCAGTTTTTGGTTGATATTTTACCCCTTGGATCCGCCGCATATTTTTGCAGATCCGGATCCGGATCCAGGAAGCCAAAATCTTGCGGATCTAACGAATCCGGATCCGGATCCTAAGCACTGGACTCTGGTCAATATATGATAAATGAGATAATACTATATATATCTATCTGATGAATCTGATAATTGCTTAATTTGAAACTTGGTTTCTCTGTTTGTTTCTTTTATGCTGCAAGAAAAAGAAGGAAATAATCAGAATTTGACACATTTCTAAAAAAAACAATAATATCGTTCTTATTGTAACTCAAATGCATATTTAAAGGATACCGAAGAAAATCAGATATGCCACTTTATAAGTAGAGAGTCACTAACTAGAAATAATATTTACAGTCCTTTAAATTTTGAATTCTGATAGGACCTGGACAGCTGGGCCACTGATATGGCGAAGAAGGATAAAAAACTGATTGAAGCAAAATTAAACTCATCAATTAGGAACATTCAGAAATATTATGGCGCTCAACTTCCTCCACCAGTAACAACAATCCTTTTCAAATGTTACTTTGTGTGCCGCCATTTTTGGTCCATTTTTGTTCCATTTTTGGTCCATTTTTGGTCCATTTTTGGTCCATTTTTGGTATATCATAAGACTAATCAAAAAATAACTTCTCGGATCGGATTTATCTGTTCTTATTGATGGATGTTCTAAAAATTAAAAAATCTAAAATTTTCTTGTCAGCATTTTTAATTTCAACCTGCTAAAAATCCCATTGATTAAGTTAAACACAAACAGATATTAGGATGTTTCTTTTCTACAGTTTACCATTTTGATTCAGGATCATTATTATTCCTATTTGTCTCGGGGAAAAAATTGAATGTTCAAAATGAATTGATGTAAAGAACGATTAAAATTCAAGGAGTGGCGCTTTGGTGCAGTTTACAATAAATTAGTTCTTCAATTTGACATTTAATTCTGCATGTAGTGATAGTCCGAATAAAGAGAAAAGATCGGGACCAAATACCTCCTCCCTCCCTTCTCAGATCATTTTAAAACATAAACCGGAGAAGAACAAAACTTCAAAACAAAGGTAGATATTAGGACCAGTTAAAACTTGAAGCCAAGGGTATATGTTTTCTTGATAAAATCATCCTTCCCCCCCCTTTGAAAATCATTTTTTACCCTAGATGGGTATGTTTAAAGGTTTTATTTCCTGAATTGGGCAAATTCATGATTTTACGGGAAAACTTACTTAATTTGTAGTATAAAGTATCAAAAAGATAAAAAAAAACTTGCCTTATGATGTTTAATTTAAGTTATTGTTAGGTACAATAACATCGATCATAAATACTTTGCACGAGAGGAAAATACTGCATTGATAAGACTTTGAGCTTTGTTCATAATAGTTTTTTTTTCAGGAAAGAGAAGAAAGCTAAGAAAGAAGTAAAACAGTCCCAACCTTCAAGTACATCTGGTGCTCCTAGCGCTCCGACTGTTCCTAGCCCACCAAAAAAAGAAAAGATACGCGCATACGAATATGACAAGTGGGATAAATTTGATGCTGATCAAGAGTGTAGTGCACTTGACGCAGGTAAAATGCAGTACACTTGACGCAGGCAATATAAGTACACTTGATGCAGGCAATAGCAGTACACTTGACGCAGTTGAGAGTATGCTCTTGCCGGAGGTGAGATCAATACACTTGACGCAGGCAATATCAGTACACTTGACGCAGGTAAAATTAATACACTTGACGCAGGCAAAATTAATACACTTGACGCAGGCAATATCAGTACACTTGACGCAGGCAATATCAGTACACTTGACGCAGGTAAAATTAATACACTTGACGCAAGCAATATCAGTATACTTGACGCAGGTAAAATTAATACACTTGACGCAAGCAATATCATTAAACTTGATGCAGGTAAAATTAATACACTTGACGCAGGCAATATCAGTACGCTTGACGCAATTGAGAGCATTGTAGATTTTTTAAGCTTTTAGCGTCTTCTCAATTTAATTTTCAATTTCGGAACAATAGAAGTGCATAACTATTTTTAACCAAGGTATTGTTTATAGCCCCCCCACCCCATACACAGAAATCAGT